CACTGGTGATTTATTGGAGTTGCCAAACCACATAATCGCCACGGTTTCCCCTCTCACTGAGTTATTCAAGCACAATATGTTGGATTTAGCAGTTGAATTTGAACTGATTGTACTTAGCAGCTTTACTCATCAAATAATTTTTTGACAATTAAATTTTTATATTGTCGTATTTTTTTGCTTGCCAACTGCGGAATCGCCTACTCCTTCGAACTGCATCAAAAAGTCAATTTTGCCAAAAAACTGATTTAGCAGGTTTACACTCTAAGCCGACGATATATGATGGAATTATTTACCCGATTTGGACTTGGCACTGGAGTACACTTTTTCAAGTAAGTACTTATAATGCCCTTTGTAGTGGATGAATCCAATGTGGTTTGCGACCAGAAACCAATCAAGCGTTTCGATTGAAAAATCCTACAAGGTATGTTAAAGGAATTTTAATAGTCGTATGTGGAATGGTTTATTTCTTTTTTTTTCTCTCTTTGAAATCCTGCTTACTTGCTTATGTATGGTTGGCGAACAAAACTTGACTTCCTTGTAAAAATTAAAGCTTACTGCGATGTTCACTGTGAGACGTCTTGAAGAGGAAAGACTGAAAAGATTCAGCGTTCGCACCAAGAAGGTTTTGTCTCGACACAATGACAGGGCAATTTCTATAGGTTCGTGTTTTCTAGGAAAAAGAACGTGCGGAAAGTAAAAAAGGCGCAAATTCAAATAAGCTGTGTTTAGCTGTATCACTGCGCGTCAACCGACACCAGAAATCTGGTCGGGACTACAAGCGCCATTACAATTCATCATAAAAATTTATCATCTCACTTGTCCGTATGTCGCTCTGGAAAGAAATATATTTTAATTTATTTCATAAAGATAAATGCAAATCAAAACGGAAACAATGACAACGAATTTTACGCACATTGTTGTATTTTAGCGCAAAACGATGAGTTTCACAAATATTTTAAATTATTGCCTGGAACAAACACATTCATCGTTATTATTGAAAACGCCAAACTTGGCACGAATTTTTAATTTAATCAATTCATATGATTTTCCTCAAATATTCCTCAATTTACATTTTAAAGTTTTTTTCTGAAACTTGAATGTAACTCTGTGCGGGGAATGAGAGAATTGAAAATCAGGTGATCTCAACAAAACAAAATGGCGCTTCCATACTTGCAAGCCTATACAATGCCTGGTACGCTTTCCTGCAAAAAAAAACTGCAAATCGTGAATTTCGTGAGCACCTGGAACGCAATGATTTAAATTTATTTCCTGCGAATGTTTGAGTAAAACAAAAAGTTTGCGCTTTATAAAGTTAAGTAAAGTTCCGATCTAAAATTACATTAAAGCTAACACAAAGCTTCGACAATAGTACATAAATTATTCTAATACAATGTAATTTTAATTAAAATTGTGATAAATAAAGTCCTCTCTCCCAATCAAAAGTAACATGCATGGCATGAAAGTCCCAGTAAGCAGTCATATGGTAAGCCATATTCGTCAGCACTACAATATACTCGAAAAGCGCAAAGAAAGTATATACTGTGTGACGAAAATAAAATGTTTTAGTTTAACGGTTCAATAAGTTGGTTATTTAGTTACTTACCGCCTGCCTCGCACAACGAATTATGCCGCAGGAAACAATAGCCGGCTAAAATAAATGCAGTGACGTTTGTTATAAATAAATTTCTTTTGTACATCAATGATTTTTCTTCCATCGGTAAGAGTGGTACTTTACGGCCATTTTTGTTGAGAAAATAAGAAATAAGCATATAAACCTCACTGCATGCAATAAAAACAACGAAGGAGTTTCTATGAATCCGATAGTTGTCCATGGATGTCCACAACGATAAACTTAGCAAAGCTAAATTTTCAGACATATTTAACAAGCAAGCAATAACAGCATATACACGACGATTTCGCCGGATCGTATCTTTATAGTATTGCATATACATTTTCGATACCACAATCCGAGCGGGCAATTGCAGTGTTATTGCCAATCGCCAAACTGTTTTTTGCGGTTCATAACTTCCTATGGCCGATGATATGGAGGGCAAATAATTATGTACATCACAGTGCGTGGAAGTAGAACTTTCAAACTCGAACAATAGCGACCAAATAACACAAAATAAAAAACTGCCCAGGGCAAGACTCACAACGGCTATGGCAATTTTGCCAAATCGGATGCGGAAAAGAGGTTGTGGGCCATCTAATCGGTTGTAGCTACCAGAGGTTGGTAACATAATACTCTAAAATCACTTTAAACATATGCTTGTTTCTGAATTATCAATTTGCATCGTTTACGTATTAACTTTACTGCTCTTAGCCCAAAATGTTCAAAATTATACCCACTATTGAAGGTTTTACCTCAATGGGCAACCAACCCTCCCATGGGCGTATTAGAACTGAGACGTCGACATCAATTTTTATAAATAATCGATGTTTTGACATAAAATCGAGTTTCCAAAACATCGATTTTTGATTCCGACTTGTAAGGGCGTGTGTGAATCGGTAACAAAGTTTGGGCAAGTAAATTTTTGACAACTATGAGGTGAATAAAATTTCAGTAGCTCATGAGGCTAGTGAAATTTTTGACAACTGCATAGAAAATTTTGACATTCGCAACGATTGTTGCTGTGTGTAATTTTTCGTAAAACAAAAGCTTAAATTGATGAAATGCAATCAGTGATGGTAGATGTTTTCTCAAAATATTAATTTCACTTCAATTTGTAATAGTTTATTGCGCATAAATCTGCGGCTATAAAAAATTTACTGCTGTCAAAAAATATTTGATTTCACACAGCAGATTGGCAAAACTGTCTCACCATAGTAAAAGTATTATTCAATATCTTTCCCCATAGAACTTTGTTACCGATTCACACACGCCCTAAAACCGATTTCAATGATTCAATGAGATAACACAACTTCTTAAGTAAGGGCCGTTTGCACCATGTCTAGTTAACGCTAACTAGAGGTACATCCTTCAGTTAAGCACGTTAACTGCTTTATCGATCACATGTTATATGATGGGTGTCGATAACGTCGATAAAGATGTTTAACTGGGAGTTGCCGCTACTCCGCGGTACTGATGTGCGCCCCGTGTGCTTACCCCGGTTGAAGAGTGGCGCGCTGGTGTTGCCGCTGTTTCCGGTTCTGATGATCGCGTCCCGGGTGCTTACCCCGGTTGAAGAGTGGCGCGCTGGTGTAGCCGCTGTCCGCTGTTCTGATGAGCGCCCCGGATGCTTAACCCGGTTGAAGAGTGGCGCGCTGGTGTTACCGCTGTGCGCGGTGCTGATGTGCGCCGCGGGTCCTCACCCCGGTTGAAGAGTGGCGCGCTGGTGTTGCCGCTGTCCGCGGTTCTGATGTGCGCCCGAATTCTTAACCCGGTTGAATGTATTGTTATCACTTTGGGCGCGCGAGCTGTTGGAATATAAGAAGACGTGTGTTATTCCCCCTAAGGGCCGTTTGCACCATGTCTAGTTAACGCTAACTGGAGGTACATCCTTCAGTTAAGCACGTTAACTGCTTTATCGATCACACGTTATATGATGGGTGGCGATAACGTCGATAAAGATGTTTAACTGGGAGTTAGAATTAACTAGACATGGTGCAATCGGCCCTAAAATAAATAGAACATGCAAAATAAGTGTACGCAAAAAAAGTG